CTTCCAAAGCTAATTTGACTGATGGAAAAAAATTTCAAAAATTGACAAAATTAAGTATTTTTTTACCACTCCCCAAACTTGTATTTTTCATCAGATTTCAATAACACTTCTCTACTAGAGATAAATTAGGCTGCTGAATAACATAAAGGCATCCATTTTTGGCCATCTTTAATAGTTTCCTTGATATTGCTGGTAGGAAATAGGGATTTTTTGTTTGTTTTTAAAAAATCTAATTTTATAGAATTTTTGACTTGCACCAAAATGTTTCTTTTTTAATGCATTTCATTGAAACTTCCTTCCTAGATGTCAGTTAGGCTGCAGCATCATATAAAAACATTTATTTATGGCTATCTTTAGTAGTTTTTTCTATATTGTTGGCAGAAAATAGAGATTGTTTTTTTAGATTTCTTTCTTTATGGAAAATTCCCTACTATCGACCATCTGAAAAAGTGCCAAAGAAAGTACAGTTTATCATAAAAAGTGTCTAGAATTTATCATTTTAGTATAGATACATCATGCCGCCACCCACATAATGATGCCCTGGGCGGTTGCCATGCCTTCCATATCAGAAACCGCCACTGAGCACGTCTGCTAATGGGCTTCATGTCCTTGTTGCAAAAATCGCACAAAATCAGCACAAACCTAAACCCCACAAAAACAGATCATCATACATAATTCCCGTGGCCCATAAAAACAGCGGATCTAATCCGCTTTTTTCAGGGTCGTGCAGAGGCCACTAAAAGGGCAGGTGCTCAAAAAAAAAAAAAAGGGCACATATTACCGCATTCTAGGACAGAATATTAACAAAGCCACACAGCTTTGAGTTTAATAAACAATGACAAATTACAAAATTGTGAAATATACAATCAAAGCTAAGGTAAATCTCTATACAGAGCATAACACTATGCATATGTAAGATATTTTATTAGTAATTTCTTTCTGCAGGTCTATTTTGTTATAGGAAAGTATTGCAATATTCAAACCCGCAATTTAGCAAGATATGTAAATCAGAGCTAGACATATTTTGTCTTTACAGAATTACACTATTAAAAATATAAACAAGGGCCCAATGCAACCTTTTAGTGACTGTAATCTATAAAAAAAGAGCTGCCTGTTTGCTGCTGCAGTGGAGATGAAGATGGTCCATTCAGGAAAGCAGAGCTGCATCAAACTTTAAGGTGGAACTGCAGAAAAAAAGAAAAAAACAAAAGCAAAAATTGAATTGTTAATGCATGTCACTATGGGAAAAGCCTATTGAGTTTTGCTTAAAACTTTTTTAAAAATTTAAATCACACATTTGTCTCATGAAGTGAATTTTTTTTGCAAAACAAACTTATTTGTGCATGTCAGAAATCTTTTCTGGATATTCTAAGTTT